GGTTGTGAAAGCTGGCCAGTGAAGAAAGCTGACAGGAAGAAAATCAGTATGGAAAGGAATTATGTAGCACTTTGAGATTAAATAATTGAAAGAAGTTGTAGCATAAGCTTTTAGAGACTTGGAGCCAAAACAGATTGGTTAAAAAAAAAAAAAGCCAGCATCATGCTTTTTGCCACTTCTTTTTGCACTGGGAAAATGATGGGTTGGGGGTGTGGCATGTGGTTGCTGCAGCCCCAACCAAGTAATCAAAAAGGTGATGTTAAGCTGCCCCTTTATGGCCATCTGTTTCAGCCCTTGCTGTACTTTCCTCAGGAAGAAAATTCATTCACTTGGTGGTGCTGGGGAAGAGTTCTATAGATACCATAGACTACCAGAAAGACAAATGAATGGATATTAAAAACAAACTCTACCTAGAACCCAAGAGGACTGAAATGAGACTGTTGTACTTTGGATATATCATGAGATGGCATGACTCACTGAAAGATATGATAATGCTTGTATTTTGGAAGAAAGTAGGAAAAGAGTGGATACAATCAATCAAGGAAGCCACACCCCTGAGTTTGCAAGATGTGAGTGACTGTGGATCTTGGAGGCCTCTGTATGGGTCACCATAATGGAAGTCAAGTTAATTGCAAACAACAACTTATAACATGACATTTTCATGTCTACTGAGATTCACCATGGTGTAGTGGTTTAAGTCTTAGTCTGGGACTAGGGAGATCCAGGGTAAAGTCTTCACTGAGCCATGAAACTCAGTAGGTGACCTTGTTCCAGTGTCAGGGATGATGGGAGTTGTAGCTCTTCACCTCTGGCTCTAACTCACCACCTTGTTATGCAGCAGAGCTGATCAGCTTTGATCAGTGGTTGATGCTTCTTTCCCAAGCAGCAGAGTTTCAGAGATAGGCTGAAGACCCTGACAAACTCTCCAAGCCTTCTCACTCTTCTTCCTGAGATGTCTCCAAACTTCTCCAGGATTCAGCTGGCTCTTGTATCTTCCCTCAAGACACCAGACAACTCAGTAGTCTTATATAAAGGATCTACTTTATTCTCCTATATATAAATAAATACTATATGCCCTACAAATCACAATCTCTACTACTCTACAAAACTTCCAAACTACTCCACAATGTACATTAGCAACCATTGCATTTATAGCCA